TCCTTGCGTCCTAAAAAAAGTACCTTCATTTTTTTTGAAGTATCAATATCCAGATTAACTTATGCATGCCACCAAATTCCAGAAGATCAAGAGTTAATACATATATGCTATTAATTTACAGTATAGAGCTGATTATTATCCCAAAAAAAATTTCTCGATATACTCATACAATGTGAAGCTATTTAACTTTTTTCTATGTAAGTTATTGCTTTCAAATTGTGAAATGTCTGCCACTCTTTTTATTTATTTACATTATTTAAGAGAGGACTAAATACTGCATAATACCTTACCCAGCCCTGTCAAAGCCAAACAAGTAGGAAACACTTCTTGATGGTAAAATGACAGCTATATTTAAAACATAACAATGACAAATCAAAATCTCAGTAGACTGTTTTAATGCTCAGACTCATCTTTGAGAAAACACAGAAGCAGGTGTCACGGAGTTCACCATTTTTAAAAGTGAGAACAAGTCACCTCAGTCTGTACAGGTGATGCCCCCACTCAGTCTACTCTGTAACCTGCCTCTGAGTCATGAGAAATGTAATCACCTAAGCTAGACAACTGTGTTTCTATTTGATTCAAAAGGCAAGCATCTGTGGACCAGACTCTCAAAGCTCCTTCCCAAAGAAGCCCAGAGACTGTTCCCAAGCATCTCCATCACACTCTAAGGCAGGCTGGCTTTCCCAGCAAACATGTGGACAGAGTACAGACATGCTTTATGCTGATCCAGGAGAGCAAATGAGAGTTCATCAAAATAAACACATGGACTTAGACTTCCCAGTGGGTCAATTACCTTTCAAGTTTAATACATAAAGCCAAACAATGATCTACTTTATGAAAACGGGTTACAATGCAGGTAGATACTTGTCTGCTTCCCTGAAACTTAGTGGAATATTCCCCTAGTTCTTTTATTAAATCAGGATGTACCTTAAAATTAAGTACAAAGTTTCATTATGTACTTTCTTCTACTAAAACTATACAATATATAGGACCACTAAGAAAGAAAATGAAGAAAAGAGGAAAAGGAGAGAAGAAGGGAGGAGATGAAGTAAGGAGGGGAGGAACAAATGAACTTTGAATATTCAATGTTTACTTAAACTTTTGGACTTTTACAATGAAATTTAGCACCTTATAATCACCTGTAATAGTCCTTAATGGAAGCAAGGTATGGCACAGAGCTTATACTTTCCCCTTGTGCTGAGGGCTCCATGTCTTCCCACCCTCAAGGAGTTGGATATAAACTGATGCTCTGTCCTGCAACTGTCACTGCTAATCAAACTGATTTCAATCTGAAAATAAATAAAAATCCCACTCTGCCTTCTCATGCCAGTTCTAGTATCATTAAAACCAGATGCCATGAGATTGATTTATTTCTCCAACTACTAAAGTCTGAACTGTTAATTCTCCTGCATCACTCTATTAAACTGTTCTCACCAGAGTCATTGATGACAACCATACTGGAATGTGCAAAGCATCCCTAATTTCTCCTTGGTTTCTAACACTTTTGGAAACTCCTCATTGATCTTTTATGAAGTTACTCCTATGGCTCTCTTCTCACCTCTGATTCTCAAAATCTTCTGTAGATTTACACACCCTAGATTCATGTCTTTTTTTCTCTTTCTTATATACTAGTATTCTATGAGTACAACACCCCCCATCATTTCATAACTCCTCTAAGACTATAAAGCTTGTGATGAACTTAATTTCAGACACTTAGCGCATACAGTGTGTTTTATCAGAGTGATCCTAGAGGGCATGGAAACAGACAAAGAAGGCAAATCATAATTTCAAACTCCTGGAAATGGTGACAATTCTAATTGAGTCCTCTCCAAACTTCAGACTATCTTCAGAATATGAGAGGTCTGAGAACATCCACAATTTCCCACATTTCTTAACCCCTGCATTAAAACACAGCTTCTGTGAAACGGAACCCATGCTTCTCTTCTCTCATGCCTCATAGTATTCAAGCCTGGGGTGTGCCCCTCATTTTCAGTGTACCTTCATCAATGAATCATACCAATCTCAACTCCATTCCTAAAAACACTCCAAATCAAATCCCACCTGTCCAACTTGGTCTCTGGCATCTCTCACCTGGAATGTTCTGAGTCTCCCACCTTTCCACATTTGGTTCCTCTTTCCTTACCACCTTCCTGTTCATTAGAAAACTTACTGTTGCAGGAACTTCTCAAAAATATACATTTGGTATGATTTTTCCTGCTAAAATATCTTAGTTACTTCCTACATCTATTTTTTTAGTGAAAAGCTACAATAATTTATTTCACAAAGGACTCTGACCTGTGATCACCACCTATTTATAAAATCTGATATAGAACCATCTATTACTCTTCAACACAGGGCTGTTTTACAAATTTTCTTCTGGATCACACACCTAGTTTTTCCTTGTCTTCAATTCTTCATTTCTTTATTTCAATTCACTATCTCTTGAATCAGGCTTTCATTTCTGCTATTTCACTGAAATGGTTCTTGGAAGGTTTCCAGTGATGCCAGGATTTTGAAACCCATTTTTCAGTTTGGGGCAGAGAAAATACAAAACATGTGCATCTTATAGGACAAATGTCCAAAAGAGAAAGAATTCTCAAAAAGTACAAAAGCTGACCTGAAAGACTTCTCAATGCTAAAGCTGGAATAAAAGAAGGAACTATGGAATACAATTATAACCCAGAATAAAGCAGCCCCAAGTCCATAATTCTGAATAGGTTAAATGCATAAAAATGAAAAGGACAGGTAGCTCACACTTTAGAAAAATTCTGAATAAATAAATGGATAAGCAAAACATTAGACCAGTACAGTAACATGACTATAGGCAAGATCCAACAGTGAATACAAAAATCTGTGTGTGTTCCTGAAGAGGGGGTGGAAAGACGTCAGAGCTAGAGTTTGGGAGGAATGGGGTAAAACTGTCTTCTAAACATACCAGGATCACTGCACTCATAAACCCACAGCAGCTGTGCTTGCCTGCACAAGATCATACCAGTCAACAGTCCTGCAGTGATGAGGGAGGTGCATATGAGAGCTAGTCATACTTTATGGCTGCTAGGAGGGAGAGTCTGTTTTCTTTAGGGGTGTGGTCTCTTTAGGGGTAAGGTGACTATGCTCCAGTGAATGGCCCCAGAAATGACAACCACCAAATAACCGCAAAGGAACTGAATCTGGAGTTAAAATGTAGTCATAGCAGTATTTCACAGTAGCTCTCCCATAGCTACTCTACTATAGGAACAGGCTATACTGAATAATTTCTTAGAGAAGGAATATCAAAGAGTCAGACATCAGCAATGACACAGGAGTCACCTGTTCAACCTCTCCACTTGTTCCAAAAAATCTGGTTTAAGATTTGAGTAGAGACAATAATAAAAATGCTAATTTACTGTGTAGTCAATAATGAAAGATATAAATTCTAGTTGTCTTAAGATAAAGTAAGATAAATTTACTTTGAAAATAGGTAAATTTTCATTTTAAAACTAAATGATTTTGAATATTCTACATATAGTAATTTAAGAGTCAATGATCATAAAAGGTGTAATAAAAAATTATAGACAGAAAACACCAACTTATAAATACAGTAGCAAAATCCTTGAAAGGTTTTTATTTTTAAAAACTACTTTAAGAAAGAGAAGGGGAGAAGGGGGGAGGAGAGGAAGACATGAGAGAGCAGGAAGATCTAGTCAGGGGAGGAATGGAGGGGGGAAAGAAAAGAGACACCACAATTGAGGGAGCCAGTATAGGTTTAAAGAGAATTCTGGCACTAGGAAATGTTCAGGATGACCCCAACTAACAATCTAAGCAATAGTTGAGAGGCTACCTTAAATGCCCTTCTTCAATAATGAGATTGATGACTACCTTATATGCCATCCTAGAGCCTTCATCCAGTAGCTGATGGAAGCAGAAGCAGACATCCACAGCTAAACACTGAGCTGAACTCTGGAATCCAGTTGCAGAGAGGGAGGAATGATGAGCAAAGGGGTCAAGACCAGGCTGCAGAAACCCACAGAAACAGATGACCTGAACAAGGGCTTACTCATGGACCCCAGACTGACAGCTGGGAAACCAGCATAGGACTGTTCCAGATCCCCTGAAGGAGAAAGTCAGTTTGGAGGTCTGAACAATCTATGCAGACAAAGATAGTGGATCACCATTTACCCCTAGTATACAAATGAACTTTGGGAGCCCTCTCCACATAGAGGGATACTCTCTCAGACTAGACACGCTGGGGAAAGTCTAGGCCCTGATCCAAATAAAAGGACAGACTTTGAAGATTCCGCCCCCCCCCCCCCCCCCCGCCATGGAAGGCCTCACCCTTCCTGGGGAACAGAAAGGGGTTGGGATAGGAGACACATGGGGGGGCAGGAGAAGAGGGGAGGGAGAGGGAAATGAGATTTACTGGCATGTAAAATAAGCTTGTTTCTAATTTAAATAAAAAAATAATTTACAAAAAAATATTTAAAAAAAAAGGGAGAAAAGAACTGTCCCAAACTAGTTTCTTACCCAGAAATAGACTTTAAGGCAAACTAACCTACTCATATATGTAAAATGGATGTAAACAAAAAGTAAAGGAATCCCAAGTTTAAGGTAATGGGACTATGTTGGATAGTCTACAGAACTGAAAGTCCAGACAAGCTTTCAAAGAGATTTTAACGGAACATTTTCAACAATCGTGAAGTAAAAATCTCTGTGATATACTTATTTGTTTGTTTGTATACTTAGTTTTCAGTACTGGAGAGTGTACCTTGCATAAGTTTTGTAAGCACTTGACCTCTGGATTATAGTCCTGGATGGTTTTTTACACATTTTCTTTTTTAAACCAAGGGTCTTATTAAGCTGCCCAGGCCTGTCAAATAGATGGAATTATAAGTTTGTTCCACTTGACCCAGCTTGAACACATGCAATCATTAAAAGGAAGTCTGACCAAAACTCTGTGGAATAGTGGAGAGAATCATTAAGTCCACACCAAACTCAGCAGAGACTTGAAGGTAACAAGTTACCTGACTGCTGGTTTCACTTATGGCCTCCAGTAGTTTTTCAACTGCTGCTTGTAGTCGAGAGCTGACATTCAACATCAGCTCTACATTTTCAGGATCTAGTTCAGGGCTAGCAAAACCACTTGTCCAAAATTGCTGTGATAGGTCTGCTCCTTCTTCAGCTACTTTTGACCAGTTGCTGTCATTTCTTGCTATGGCACTTCCAGGAAGAGAGGGTGCAGACTCATCCGTAACTAAAATAATAGCAAATTAAAGGCATCAATTAACCAGAATATTTAAAGTTACAACATTAAGTAACTGAAGATATCAGATCAAATTAAACTTGAATCATCACAATTTCAAGGTCTTCAAATAAAAGCACAATGAATATGCAAAGTAGGAGCATTGATTAGAAAGCACATAAGAGCTGGAAAGGATAGTGCTGTGCTAATAAGAGCATAGAAATTAATATCTGGGTTAGTCAGCATCTTTTCTTTGATGGCAAAATTATTTTTTGGTGCAGGGGATCAACTCTTTAGTTATGTGTACTATGTACTGAGACATACTCACAGTCTTATAAAGAAAAAAAAAACTTTTGAGATGACTTAAAATAGATATTTAACCAAATGATATCAAGTAGTGTTTGAAAAGAGATGAGGACTCTTAAGTAAGCAGACCTGGCTCCCATCTCCTCATACTTTACAGTGTAATGAGAAGGTAAACACATCAAGATGACAAAGATGAAAGGGGGCTGGGGACGTAGCTCTATTGATCAAGTGCTTGCCACATGAGCATGAGTACCCGGGTTCTACCCTCAGCACCCATAAAAAGCCAGGTGTGGTAGAACACACCTGTAACCCTAGTTCTAGGGAGGGGAGAGAGCTGCACAGACAGGAGTTCTTGGGGCCTGCTCCAGGTTCAACGAAAGACCTTGTCTCAAAGAATAAGGTGGAGAGTGACTGAGGAAAATCCCTGATGTTGACCTCTGGCTTCCACATGAACATACGTGACTGAGCACACACCATCTACCACTATACCCCATTCCCCAACTCATTATACAGTGGAGCAGTCCAGGTACAATGAAGAAGAGAACAAGTGCTTATATTTATCTAGACCAGACCTTTTGACTTTTGAGCCTATTCAGGGAGTGACTGATTTGATTTAATTTGGTGACAAAATGTAATAGATGAAGACTATTTTGTTATGTGCTAAATATGCAGTGGTATGAAGAAAACAGTATAGAATACTTTATTTTTATTTATAGCATTGATTCATTATTCCTTATATAAGGAAGAGTTAATCAGAGCTAGAGCTGGTCACACTCACCAGGACAGCATGCTCTAGAGCTCACCACACTCACCAGGACAACACCCTAGAGCTTGCCAGTCACCTGGGATAACATGCTAGAGCCATGAAATCAGACACAGCTTTTCTAACCACATCTACTAGTAACCTCTACTGAACAGATCATTGGTGACAGATTACAAAACTAGAATAGGAAACTATAAGATGTGCATTCTAGGGCACAATTTTAAACATCTGCCTTATAAAGTTTGCCTGCATGTATGTATGTGTGTACCATGTGTGTGCCTATACAAAGTTCTGAGCCACTGTGTAGGTGCTGAGAACCAAACCTGAGTTCTCAGAGGAACAGCAAGTGCTCTAACAGCCCAACCATCTCTACAGCCCCCTAAATTTTACTATTACACATAACTTTATATAATTCTAATCACTGGCATAGGAGCTAGTGCAATTTTTACTTTGCATATTTAAAAAAAATTTTAAAAAGCACAACTACTATACTAGTATTTTTTCATATTATACATGTACTTAAAACCAAATACTTCAAAAGTGTTATATGTTCATGATGATCTTGGGATTAGAAATGGTATACAAAGTATGCAAACAGTATAGTACAATACATACTGTAACATTCAGTAAGTCAAATGAAGCTGTCTAGGGAACATACAATATTTTTGCAGAAGCTATAGGAACAAGAGATTTTACTTGATGTTGAAGAAATAAAATCACTTATGCGATACACTGTCTTAATCTGTGAAACTGAGTGCATTCTAGTTACATTTGTTTTCCATGGGTTTGGAGAATATGATAAATCTGAGGCAAAGAAAACATTCTGAAATTATGGAAATACTAGTCTTTGACAAACAAAAATATATGGAGAAATGGGGATAAGATGGGGGTGAATTTTAAAAGAAGATAACTAGAAAGTAGACTGGATCTATCTTAGATTTTGTTGGAACTTTGGAAGGTTTTCTAAAGATTAGGAAGGGTTAATCACATATTTAAATAGGAATATAATAGCAAATTTTTATAGCAGGAAGCAAATTTTAAGAATTTATAGAAAAGAATAGACTGGTTAAAAGGCTGTTTAAAAGGGAAAGCATATCGATCCCAGACTCTCTTTGGGAGGCCAGTACGGGACTGATCCAGCCCCCTGATCATGGATGCCAATGGAGAGGCCCCTGCACTCCTGGGAGCCTCCGGAGGTGAATTGGTGTTTTGCCCTGGTGTGTGGGGAGTACTTTGAGAGCCCGTCCATCCCTCTTGAAGGGATGCGCTCTGTCTCTGGACACATGGGGAGGGGCCTAGGCCCAGCACAGGAAGATTTGGTGGACTTGGAGCCCCAGC